TTTCTATGAAGCCACAATTAGCTATAGGGAGGATTTGGATCTTCCTGATTTAGTGTAATAAGGTTTACTTGTTACTTCTAAAATTAGTACGATTCGCTAATCGCGTGACATTAATTTGTATTTGTATTTTAAAAAAAAATTTTTTAAAAATAGTATATATAATAAATCAAAAAAAATGCAAAAAAAAAGAACCCTTTCAAATGCTCATAATGATAATGATAATGAAAATAATGATAATGACAGTAATAATAAACAGTCCACCACTAAAAAATCCAAAATGGAAGAAAATACACAAATAGAACCCGTAGTTACTGACTTATTTCAAGAAGAATCCACAAGAGAAGTTACAATTTCTACCGGTGGGCTATTAGCAGAAAATCTAGTGCCTGAAGGTGGTAAAGTAGTTTTAGGACATAAGGTTATTATTGTTATCTTCCTCTGTTTATTCGACTGTTTCAAGTGAATTTTTGAATTTTTAAATTTGATCTAACACAAACTTGAAATTGAAAAGGTAAGGCATCAGGTAGCAGTACCTCTAAATTATGCATACACACCTATCTCTCAACACGTAAGACCAAGTACACCAGCTCGAACATACCCATTCAAACTCGATCCCTTTCAAGAGTATGCAATTTCTTGTATAGAGCGTTCAGAATCCGTTCTAGTGAGTGCCCATACTTCTGCGGGTAAAACAGTAGTAGCAGAGTATGCCATTGCTCAAAGTTTAAATAATAAACAAAGAGTCATATACACTAGTCCAATCAAAGTAAGCTATGAAGAATGAAATAGGCGTTGTATTATATCATTTATTAATTATTTTAATATGTAAATATTGCAGGCATTAAGTAATCAGAAATATAGAGAATTACAACATGAATTTAAAGATGTTGGTTTGATGACCGGAGATGTTACTATCAATCAAAGTTCTAGTTGTCTAGTTATGACAACTGAAGTATGTTAATTGTTTGTTTTGTTTCAGACCAATTAATTAGTCAGTTACTTGACCATTTAAATCAATTAACTTAATTAACATATTCTATTTGTTGTAAACTTGTTAGATTTTACGTAGTATGTTATATCGAGGAAGTGAGATATTACGTGAAGTAGCTTGGGTTATATTTGATGAAATACATTACATGCGAGATAAAGGTAAATAAAAACCAACTATAAAAAAAAATTCATTGATTGAGAATAAACAAATAATAAATAGATAGTGATGATAATAATAATAATAATAATATCTTCTTTTATAATTAAAGCTCGTGGTGTTGTGTGGGAAGAAACTATTATAATGTTACCACATACTATTCACACTGTGTTTTTGTCTGCCACAATTCCAAATGCAATGGATTTTGCTGAATGGATTTGTAAAATACATCGACAGGTTATTATTATTGTTGTTACGATTATAATAATAAAAAAGAAAGTTTTTAAATCCTTTCTTCTAAAAAAAAATATTTAACTCACATTATATTTATACTATTCTGATGAACTTAGCCATGTCATGTTGTTTATACAGATTTTCGTCCTACACCTTTACAACATTATATTTATATTAATGGTTCAGATGGGATTTACTTGTTAGTTGATGAAAAAGGTACATTTCACGAAGATGCTTTCCAGAAATCAATATCAACAATCAGAGAACCTCTCAATCCAAAACCAAAAACTTTTAATAATAATAACAACAAACTTAAAAGAAGTAGGCATCTGATATCTAATATATAATATCTAATATAGCAACATAATTATTAATTATTATAATTATAACTATATAATTATTAATTTAGGTAGTGATACACTTAGTACTTATTCAATAATAAAAGCTTGCATAAGTTCTAATCTTAATCCAATTATTGCATTTGCTTTTTCAAAAAAGCAATGTGAATTTTTGGCAATGCAAATGAGTCAAATGGATTTTAATAATGGCAAGTAAATATTAAATAAATAAATAAATATATATTTCTTAACAATGACACTATTAATCAATCAATCAATTAATTATCACACTAGATGATGAAAAAGAATTAATAAATAAAGTTGTAGAAAATGCCATTGATTTGTTAGCTGAGGAGGATCGTCAATTAAAATCGATACATAATCTATTACCATTGTTAAAACGTGGTATTGGTATTCATCATTCAGGATTATTACCTTTCTTGAAGGAAGTGGTTGAACTTTTATTCCAAGAGGGCTTGATAAAGGTCCTATTTGCCACAGAAACGTTTTCAATGGGCTTAAATATGCCTGCAAAGACTGTTGTTTTTTGTGAATTAACAAAGTATGACGGAATAAAAGCTAGATATGTATGTTGTTTTATTTTGTTATGTTTTATTTTCACTTAAGAATAAACATTAATCTTTATGTACGCTTTTAACAGATAACGTCTGGAGAATATATTCAAATGTCTGGTCGTGCTGGTAGAAGAGGCCTTGATGACCGTGGTAATGTAATTATGAATATCGATACTGAAAGTCATTTCAAAGTTATCAAGGACATGGTTAAGGTTAATATTCTAAATATGTAACTTTTTTCTGGAATAAAATATTTACTAATTTATTTATGTTAATTAGGGAGAACCTGACACTTTATTGTCAGCATTTCATCTAAAATATCATATGATATTAATGATGTCAAGAATTGAAGGTATAAGTCCTGAATACATGTTACAAAATAGCTTTTATCAATTCCAAAATACTTTGCCAATTCCTCGACTACAAGCAGGTATCTATTTAACCTAGCCATTCTAAATTGGAACAGTTTAATAATTTAACAATAATAATAATAATAATAATAATAATAATAATAATAATATAATTAATGTTGCAATTTGCCAACTGGTTTGATTTGAACAGAATTGAAAAAAGTGACGGAAGAAATAGATAATTTAGAGATAGAAAATGAGGAATCAGTGGCGCAATACAATTCACTTGTTAAACTTAAAGAAGAAATGACTGATGAATTTAATGAATACACCTTGGATCCAAGACACTGTCTACAATTTCTAAATTTTGGTAGATTGATATTGGTGAAATATAATAATGTGAATTTTGGTTGGGGTATGGTTGTTAGAATAGAAGAAATAAAAGTATGTATTTATTCAATTCAATAGCTCAATTAATATCAAAAGAAAATATTGTATATATTTTTTTGTTCTTTTATTTTGATGATAAGAATAATAACAATATTGACAAATAGCAAAAAAGGAATGAGAAAAATCCACTGGGCGTAAAACAAAGAGCACAACTTGATTCACAAAGTTCTAGAGAAATAATTTATAAAGTGAGAGTGTTGTTACGATGTTCTAGTGATTCATTTGCTAGTTATGATGGTAAAAAAGTTAATATCAAGCCATGTCCAAAAAATACAAAAAATGGTATTATGTTGGTAATATGAAGTTTCATATTAATTAATTTCATCAATATTTTAATTTTACAATGTTTTTATCACTAAGAAAAATATATTATTAATAGGTTGTTCCGATAGAACTTAACAACATACAAAAAATTAGTCAGATACGTCTTCATCCTGATAAAAATATTGAACATGAACCTTCTATTATGAATGTGGCTTATGATAGTATTAAAACCATTCTTGCAGAACATCCAAATGGTGTACCATTGGATCCAATAAAACATATGGAAATCAAAAGCGAAAGATTTTCATTATTATATAATGTATATAATATATATGTGTGTGTGTTGTTTCATTGAATTTATTATTATTAGTTCTAATAAAAGAAAAATCAACATTTTTTTTTTTTTTAGAAAATGAGGCTAATTGAAGAGAATATTAAGAGACATCCAGTTGATCAAGACCCATCAATAATAGAAAAATATGACAAAAAATTAAAATTAATAGAAGAGAGTAAATCATTAAAAAACAAAATTCGTGAAGCAGAATCGATTCTCCAACTTGATGAGCTTAAAAAAAGAAAACGTTTATTACGTAGAATGGGCTACTTATCGGAGAGTGACGTGGTTGAGTTCAAAGGTAGAATAGCATCTGAGATCACATCGGGGGATGAAATAGTTTTAACAGAGCTGTTGTTGAATGGTGTTTTCAATGATTTGTCAGCTGAATCAGCGGCTGCACTACTTAGTTGTTTTGTGATTGATGAGAAAGTGGATGAAATGGACGTTAAACTTCGAGAAGAATTCAATACGCCATATAGACAAGTTTTAGAAACAGCTAGAATTGTGGCCGAGATTACTGCAGAGTGCAATATTGCTATTGATAAAGAAGCATACTTGGGAAGTTTTTCGCCTGTATTGATGGAAAGTGTATTTGCTTGGTGTAATGTAAGTACAATGAAAAATGAATTTCTTTCAACATTTCCACTTAAAAATCTCATGCTTACATCGTTTATTATTTTTTTGAATGATTTTTAGAATGCGTCATTTTTAGAGACATGTAAAAGAGTAAACATGTATGAAGGAAACATAGTTAGAAATTTTAAAAGTTTGGATGAATTATTACGAGCAATGGTATTAGCAGCTAAATGTATAGGAAACATTGAATTAGAAAATAAGTTTTCTCAATCAATCGAAAAAATTAAGAAAGGGATAATTTTTGCTGCTTCATTATATCTTTAAAAAATCAAAAAAATTTATAAATTTTAATTGCTTTATTTATTACATAATGAAAAAATAATTTATAAAGAATCAATATTTGGCATATTGCAAAAAAAATAAATATTTTCTCTTGCTAGTTTTAATAATCATGTATAAATGACTTTTATTTCGAATGATCTGATCATTGCATTTCTCTTCAAATTTAGACTTTATGTTTCGAAAACTATATAGTAATATGTATGTTTGATATAAGGTTTTATCACACTGTGATTGGCTGATTAGATAAAATTGGGATTGCAATTATTTGGTAAATTTTTTTAGGTCTTACTATAAGAATTGACCTAGCTGCAGTAACCAATCTATAATAATAATAGAAGTTTGATTTGATTGTATATTAACATGGGTAGACAACAAAACCCAAAGATTGTATTCAACATTTTTTGTTTTTCACTAGGGCATTTCTTTTGGTATTACCATGAACTCTTGATGTTTATTAGTTGATTTCTTACTTATCTCCAGCATAGGCTCCCCCGTTTTTGTTTGCTAGTACATATTGATCCACCATCCATTGCTATGAATTGGACCATTAAAAAAGTACCTTGCCCTGGTTTAGAAAGAGCTTGAAAGGATTTATGCAATTCAGCGACCTTTTCTTTAGAACCTCCAAAAATTTTCATTTACATATAACCAACCCTATATCATTTTGTAGGGGTTTTTAAAAATTATTTTGAACAAAAATAAACCTTAATTTATAAGCAAATAATTAATTAACATCCATCTGAGAATTTTGCCAGACTCAACAGCTCAACCAATACATGACACGTCCTTATGGTTTTATTATTCTTTCGTTAAAATAAAATAAAATTCATACATGATGGAAATATAGGTTTATTTTGATTTTGATTTCTATAATCCAGCAAGTCCAAAATCGAATTAAATCGAAAATAAATTCGAAGTTTGAAAAAAATATGCTTTTAAATTATGTCAAGCAATTTTGATTCTCAAAGTCTTTATTTGTCAAATTCTAAAAGTGCTGAAAGATCTCCTGATATTGATTAAGCACATTTAATAAAGTACAAAAAGATATTCTGGTAAATATGATTCCACCTGTATGTGTTGTAATGATGATAGAACAAAAGGAAGTTCGCAGTCGATGCAATAACATTTCGCGAGTAGATGTCCAAATCGTTGAAAACAATTTCATCTTACATAAATATCAAAATAATGATTTTTGGATGAAACAACTTCTAAATCTTGGAGCAAGGAATTTGTCTAAATCAAAAGAAAAAAATACAATAATCAAAAGGATCGAATTAGAATTTTGAATTATGATTAATTTCGATTTCAATTTCAATTCTGGGTTCCGCTAGCTAGTACTTAGTACTAGGGAAGTTGTCATCATGTATATTCCTGAATTCCTTGAATCCGGTAAATAAAAATTTCTGGTTCTAGGATTATTATTATTTAAAGACATGAATAAGCTATAAGCAAAAAGGTTATTTATTATAAATTTTAGTTTTAATTTTGAATTTCGTTTTTATTTCTATTTCAAATTTTATTAAATGGCTTTCTGTTTCGCCGTTTAATTATTCCATTTTTGGAAAACCAGTATATAAAAAAATTCAATGCCCGCAATGTCAGGGACGAAGATTTTCTACATTCCATGCATTAAAAACACCAATAATAGTAGAAAGCTTTACTTGGTAGTAATGAAAAATTAAAATAGAAGATGGAACTTTTTTTATAATTGCAAATTATAAATCTGATAGCAGGTAAATCCATAATCGGTAAATCCATGATCTTTTTATATAGGAAAAAGTCGTATTATCGCATCATGCAACTTTCTTGACAGTGGTCAATCTATTCTAGGTTTTCCCCCAAAACACGTAAAATGTGCTATTTGTGTGGTTGCAAATTTTCTTCGACGTGGCTTGAAATAAATGAACACGATCGTGAGAAATTGCATGTTATAAACATAATAATCACGATTTTTGAATTTTTATTGATATATTCATAATTTCCGCAAACTACACTGCATTCACAGGACATATGTGTATGAAATCTATTTTCAGATGCTTTATAATTGTACGTGAAAGGTGTACAGGACATCATCACCCATTGCCAGTTTTTTAATTCACAGAAGGTATCCCTATTCTCCGAGTAAATTGCCATGGGCCACATTCATCATCTTTAAATTCCCTTTTATTGTTAGTGAATAAATGAAATTATATAGTACCAATAATCACTATAATCATTTGTGAAATTATTTGATCATAATTAACACTTACCATAGATAATTCAGTAATTAATTTAAAAAAAGAAATTTTTAAAAAAGCATAACTATTAAATCGTACTTATTTTTACAATAAATAGCATGTGAAAAGAATGCAACTAGTTGAACCAGTGTTGGAACATAATTTATTTTCATTATAAAGTGGTAAATGACCACGTAATTTTCTAACACTAGTTGGAGCGGTTTGTTTAGGGAAGGATGTATATATCCAATCGTAATCAATTAATTGGAGTTAGTACACACGACATTCAATAAATAACATAAGACTATTGAATGAGCACAGTGACAACTAGGGGTAGGGGGGTTCAATACGAATGTTACACACTATGATTTCGCAAAACCAAAACTGTCCACTATATTAATTT